CAACATTACACCTGTGTTCATATATAATTTTCAAATTTGGCCACTTATTATGTCAATTGCTGGGACTAGACTAGACGTACCATACCAATGTTCACTTTGTCTGGTTTTGTTGCAGCATGCCCCATATACTGTTTTAATATTTTTATCATATGTAGATAAATAATAATGAGATAAAAATCTGCATCTCACAATAAATCTCAATATTTTGTTTATAATAATATGCCAACAATGTTAATACAATTTTTTCTAATTATTTATACTAAATCATAACAACAATTTCTGCAAATGTATATTTATGCTTTAGTCGTCGAAGGAGGGAAGAACAAAAATTAAAATTTTTGAATCCCTTGAGGTATCGCCCCTTTGTGGCTCATACAAAAATTATTTTAAGCCGCAAAGATAAAAAAATTCCATTTACTTGGACCATTTGGTCCTAGTAAATACCCAGTCCATAACTTTTTTTTATAAAACCAATTTTCTTTTTATTATTTACTAAGACCACTAAGACCAATATAATAAATACATCAAGATTAAAATAAAATCTGCCAAAATCATCAAAATCAACAAAATATTCAGTAGTAGTGGTGGTCAAAATTGGTTGTAGAAGATTTAAAGCCCAAACCCCAAATGAATAGGATATCCTATATAAGATATAAGAAGTGGACTCAAAGATAAAAAACGAATTGAATTGATCTGCATAATACATATTACACAAAAAAACTCAAACACCTCAACCAAAATTAAACAAATCTGATATTAGTATTAGTAAAAATGTCCACTAATAATAACCAACCCAAGTGTCAACCTATCAATGATCCTAATATTTCTACATATTATGATGATTTACTTGATCTATGTAGAAGTCCACAACTTCAAAAAACAGTTTATGCATTCATTGGGAGCAACAATGGCATTTATTCCTGATGCTAAACTAATGTGGATATTCAAAAAACAAGATATTAGAGGAGGAATATAATATGATTATGGCCCAAATCATGGAGTAGGAAAATAATTCAAGATAAAAATAAAGAGTGATGCAGATGATGAAACTGGTTTTCCTGTAGAGCTAGGGACATTAGTTTATGATGCCTCAGTGGAAATGATTCGTTATCATGATATTGTTTATACTCCCTATAGGCCAGTAAATCTTTGATAGATACTATATTCTTTAACTTATTTGTAGGTTTCAAGGCTCAGCCAGCAAAAAAAATTGATAAAAAATTAGTATCTCCAATTATTTGTTACATAAAAGAAGTCTGGTGTAATGATAACAAAGAACTTATAATATATGTTCTAAATTGGCTGTCATTCCTTGTACAGAATCCAGTAGAAAAACCAGGCATAGTTATAGTAATGTGAAGTCCTCCACAATGTGGAAAAAATATATTAATGGATTTTATTGGACTCAAAGTATTGGGATCTGAAAATTTCTTATCAACATCCAGGCTTAATGATGTTGTATGAAGGTTCAATAAAGAAATTCAAGGTTGTAAACTTATAATACTTAATGAATGTGAAATGTCTGGTTCAGAATGGCATACAGCAAATGATAATTTATAAAGTTTAATTACTGAGCCTTATGTAACAATCGAACAAAAAGGACTAGATTCAAAAACCATTGCCAATTTTGCTGGATATATGATTCTTAGTAACCACCATGCACCTCTTAAAGTCAAAGTAGGGATGAACGTATAGTTGCTTTGGATGTATCTCCACACTATAAGGGGAAGATTAATGAATACTTTAAACCCCTCAAGAAAATATTAGATCATCCTGATATTCCATGGGCATTTATGACATGGTTATTAAAATGCGGTATTTCTGGATGGTGTCCAAGAGCAGATATTCCTAATACAAGAATGAAACAGGAATTATATTGATACTATTGATTGGCCAGAAAATGTTTGTATAATTGGATGTACAAATTTCTACAAAGAATATCAGCAATGGTGCTTTAGTTCTGGAGAAAAAAAATATTAAACGATAATAAATTTGGAATAGAGATTAAACCATACAGTACCTGGACAAAAGTATCGGACCCCCTAAATATATTAATTACGCAAAAACGTACATAATAAGTATACAGAA